CATTTTTGTCATGGATAAGATTGGACTGTACCTTGAAGCGAAATGTAATTAGCCCATAAAAAAAGGTATCGTTTGGGTAAAGATTGTCTACAATTTGAAATCATTTTGTTGTGGTGTGAGAAGCTCCTGAGAATGTTGCTAAAATTCAGTTTTTTAACATAGCGTATCAGCAGGTTTCTGGCTTCTCTCTTGGTCTACTCCTCAGTTTATCCCCTCTCCCCTCTCGGATCCTGTATGAGGTTCTCCTCGGATGAAGAATAGCAGAGATACAGCTAGAAGTAAGTAACTTGTCAACTCTAAATCACAGACCGCTTTCCTTTAGCCCAAACGTGCTCACAAGGAAGGAGCTATCGGAGTGATATTATACATGGATCCTGAGGAGTATGCAAAGCAAGGTGTTGATAAGGTGTACCCAAAGTACAATTGGCTGCCTAATTCTGCAGTTCAACGAGGAAACATCAAATCAACTCCAATAAGAGGCGATCCACAGACACCGGGCTACCCTTCAGTCAGTAAGTAGGATATCTAAGCCAGTTAACGTGCAAGACGTTTAGATGCCTTAAAGAGGAGAGAATCTTCTCTCTTCATGGTCGTGGTCAAGGTCTTCAGGTCGTAGCTAAGCTCTGTAATAGGAAGAGACTATCAAATAAAAGAGCAAGCGAAAAATGGTGGTCGGGTGGACCATGGTAACCGTTGGTTTTCGCTCGCCGGTTTTTTTTCTTTCTGTCGTTCAGTGTCCCCATAGCTCAGACTGAGAGCTTGGAAAAGGCTTGGAGGGTCATTATACTTTTTTCGCTTCTGATCTCCTGTTTGCCTGGGAAATACTTCAAGTAAATTAATCTGTGTTTCAATACGGATTAGTTATGTAGAAGGAGGTAAACCCATCGTAACATCTCTGATTTTAAGCCACTAGTGAAGACACCGCTCAGCGACATAGGAGCATGCACACCACTCATCAGAGAGACAAGGTCATACACTATAAATACGTTTGTACAGAACTGGAATTTTTACATTGCTATACTTTTTTCTGATTCTAGAGGGTATGTATCGCCTGCCAAAGGAGGAGGCTGAGAAACTCCTCCCTCAGATTCCTGTTCATCCTATTTCTTATGAAGATGCTGAGCCCCTGCTCAGGTGAGTGAGCACGTAAGTTCTGTAATCCTAGAGCCCAACGATGTATTATTAATTCTCAATGACATTTTCATCGATCTTAATTCTGAATTGTGAAAAAAAGAAACCTCTCCAAATGTCCATAATGGCGTAGTAAGTTGTGGAAAGAATCCCTGTTTTGCTTGTCAAGCAACAGCCTCTTTAGTCAGTTACCTTCCATTAATGACTTTATTTACAGCTGTATTGTCAGTAGGTTCAAGTTTTTATTTTGTGAGATATTTCCTCTACTTTTTCTTTATAAAAGTAACGTGCGGCATGTTTTTTGTCTATTTAGGATTCTCACACGCGATGTAGTCTTACCCAATTCTTCCTTCCAAGGTGGTTTGAACTTTCCGTATGGAATACAGATGGCGGAAGATGATCCGAGGTGAAGAATAGATTTTGAAAAGTACAGAGAATGATATCGAAACGGGCTTGGGTATGAAATTCTTAGAGAGAGTGAGAGACAAATCCGGTGAAATATTTTGGGATAACATAGCAAATACCATTGAGTGTTCGTAGGGCCTTTATATTTGGACGTTATCGGTGTTATTCTGTGGCCACAGGAATAGCGTCAACAGAAGATTCATAGATTCCCCTGGAAATTAAAATTTGCTTTGATAAATGTTTTATTATTTGTCGGTGCGACGCAAAGAATTATTCTCCAAACCAAGAGATTGCTATCTCTTTTATAAATTTGATCTTTCTTCAATTTTTGACCAAATGCGAAATTTCATTTCCTGGTGATGAACCGCGTCACCTAAATACTGTATTGGAAAACTAAGGTTGCAAATAGGAGAAAAGTTGGAGTTTATTTGACATTCAACACGTGATGGTGGAGGAGGATAAGTTATGGCCACCTGTAATGCCAGAAGGTGATAAAGGTGTTGTCTGTTTTGAATTAAACTTTTGCTAAGGCTAAGGAGGACTGAAAAGTTCCTTCAGAGTGGGTTGAATTTTCTGACAATCCTTTGGGGCTTCGGTGGCTTTTGTGTTAATTCGTTTTGTGTTTCCTCATTCTCCCAGGGAGATCGAGGTGAATTGTACCAATGAACTATATGTAACAGATGTTTACAACTTGATGGGAGTAATTCAAGGATCCACTCACCCTGGTATGTGTCTGAGCTACTCAAAGGAGTCATAATCAATTGACAAAACAGTTAACGCACATCCTTAGCCTTGGAACTTTGTCTTAAAAATTTTACCAGCAGGAAATTAAAAGAAAACTGTGCAGTGCAAGGTGCCCGTATGTTCATTTTTTATGTAATAACTGAGATACTACCAGCGCCCTGATTGGTAAAAGAAGCTATCGTTCATTGAACCAGTAAACCCACAGGCATTTCATTAAAGCAACTGATCGCACATTCTATCAGTTTACCGGCGTAATGATGGAGAACACGAGAAAAGTGCGCCTGCGATAATGGGCCGGCGTCACTGAAGTGAAGTGATATTGTTTAGCCACATTTTTGATGACACTAGAGAGTTCGGTTTTTGGAGATTAATGAAAGAACCCCTTCTGCTTTAGACGAATTACAAGAGGTGGTGAGGTGGTCCGCTGCAGAAATGTTTAAGTTTCACTTTCAAAGTACTTCTAGGTTATGATTTACGTTTCAAACTTTTCGCAGATGAATTGGTGTTACTGGGTAACCACCGGGATGCTTGGGTATTTGGTGCTGCAGATGCATCTAGTGGCACTGCCGCTTTGATGGAGTTGTCCAGAGCTCTTGGAGCACAGCTCAAGGAAGGTACAGTGACTATGTTTTAAATGTAAAACAAGTTCCGTTGATATTATCGATTTATCGCAATGTGTCTTTGATTGGTTAATTCGTGAACTTCAAAATTGATGGGATTTTTTTATCATTTTAGGATGGAAACCAAAGCGCACTATAGTGTTGTTAAGCTGGGGAGCTGAGGAACCGAAGTATATGGGATCTGTTGAGTGGCTGGAGGTACGTTGATATATCCACTGGTAGACGGTTTAGAAATATGGAGTGCTCCTAGCCCATAGAGGCCATAGTACAAATCCCGGGAAACGCGAGCCATCAAGTTGATATTGAGTGAGTCTAAACTCTAAACTGAGGGTGGTATAAACCAAAAGCGTATTAATGACAGCGGTCAGTCGAACAGAGTATCACAAGGAGACAATGATAACTCAAAATAAACACTGACCCCAAGCGCGAAACAGTTCAGCCAATCAGATCTTCATCGAGAGAGTGACCTCAATTTTTAGACCAGTCACATGGCGAAGGAGTGAAAACGTAACGTAATCAAGGGATCATTTCGATACCAAACAACTTTTCTATAACTTTCGGATTATTTCAGAGGAGGCTTCTAGAATTCATTCGGCTTAAAAAATAATTTACCTCCTGTGGGTTCCTTTTTCAATTGACCTGGCCCTTTAACTCCCAAGATCTCATTAGTAATTCTCCTTACTGTCTACCATACAGTTCTTGTGAAGTTAGTTTGGAGAATTTGGTATTAGATCAACTAATAATCCCCTAATTGATATTTTTCTTTATTCTCATCACTTGTCTGCCTTATATTGTCTTGATATCGTAAGGAGAAATTCTGTCTTGGTCACTCATGGGATTTAAAGAGTTAATGAAAAGGGATGCACGTTGCTGTGGTTTAACAAAACTCTCAAAAAGTAACCAGTCGCGTGAAAAGAATTATATTTTTGTTTTGTTAAAGGAGCATTCGAGGTTATTGTCTGCCCGAGCCGTGGCGTATCTCAATGTGGACATGTCAGTTGACGGTAAGACCATATAGGGATAATCAATATAAAATCAATATAATTTGAATACAAATGATTTAACTTGTGATTTAATATATCCAAATTGGTGGTCGTTTAGTGTCTTCTGGTTGATGACTATCTCTATATCTCTTAAGGGAACTATTCTTTCCGAGCAAAGTCCGCGCCTCTCATGGACTGGGTTCTGGCCAGAGGAGCAATGAAGGTTAGTGCCAAACATAAATAAATTTAGCTGCTCAAACCATGCTCGTCGTAAATCGCACTAGGAACGAAATTGGAACAAAGAAAGACTAGCCGGGTATACTGTTTTGATGTCATTTTGGTATCTAACTATTCTATGATACGGGATAAGAGCATAAGTGTTAAGCAGAAGTGGGATGAGGGACCTTAATGTTATGTCGACTTCTAGTTGTTCATGTTACTTTACTTGCCAAGAGTACAGAAGGCATCAGGCAGACGTGAAGGTTTAATCTGTTGCTCACAATTCAATTTACATCGTAGTTCTAATTTAAAATTCTTCAAAACTTTTCCGGGGTGTATATTGTAGAAAAGGTAACACGTCGGATAGGTTACCGAGCTAAACGACCGCTCTCACTTCTTCAGGTACCAAGCCCCTTAGGAAACGAAACGGCTTTTGATGAATGGATCAGGAAAATTCCAAACACGTTGGGGCTAAATTATTTGCCAAGGTACGTCATCACTCGATAATTTAGTTAATTTTTTCTAGTACATTTCGTAAGAAGGAAATACAGACGGAAAAGTGAACAACCAAAAAAAAAAAACAACATTGTTGTGAATATGTCCAAGTAATCTGAGCACTCTAGATAGTTACCTATTATTTGTTAATACTTACTTATTATTCTTTTCATTAATTTTTTTTAGACTTCAGCAACCAAGAGCAGGCAGTGATTATGTCAATTTTATCCAAAGGCTTGGAATTCCCATTGTGGATATTCGTTACACATACAACAGCGTAAGTAGTAAGTCATTTGTTTGAGGCTTGGATTGGACGGCAAGTTTCGCTGATGTGATATATCGGCCTTGTGCTTGAGAGTACTGATAAGGCTCATATAAATTGAACGCTTGACCTCTATTGTGCCCTAAAGTCATTTTTGAATGAGGCAAATGGTATGGTAACTCATGCCATTCGTAACGCTTTTTCTATGGCTCAGACTCATTCGCCGCACCTCTCAGGTGAGGGGGAAGTGACAAGGTAACATAGCTAGCTGTATTTGAAATACCTGCGGTACCTTTACCGTGCTAAAATCAAGCATTAGACCACACTTAACAGTTTACCGGCGTAAAAAACCCACGAGGGATTTTAGAAGAACACGAGAAAATATTTTAAATCACGAGCCAGAAAACCGGCCACAATCTATTACGCTGATGAAATAAACTTCAATTTTCTATGGGGTCTACCGGTGCAACTAACGATAGGTTCTTGACCGATGAGGATGTTCATTACTTATCAGTTATTTTATAATGTACCAGAAGAATATCAGTTGTACTTTATACGGGTTTTGTAACAGGCCTTAGAATCTTCTTGACTTATATTGAGGGCAACTGTTGATCTAACATACCCGTAGCTATGTTTTTTTACTTACATAGCTATCATCGTTTTTCTTCTTACAGAAAACTAGCAGCAATCCTTTATACCACACAGTTCACGATAATTTTTGGTGGATGTCAACTTTGATTGACCCCGAGTTTAAATACCATCAAGTGACTACAAGGGTTTGGACTGAGATTACTATGGTGCTGGCTGACTCTGTGATACTTCCATTTAACGTGACTCATTATGGCGTTAATATGAAAATTTACAATTCAAACATAAAGAAGAAGTTTGAGGAAGACTTTAAAAAGTACAATGCAAGAGAAGATCTGAGTAAGTTACCGTTTTCATTAATAATAACGTCGACGCAAGATTAGAGAAAAAACATGATCGTGTTTTCTAAGTTCCCTCCAGTTTGTTATTTTGTAGAATCAGCTCATTGTATGCATTCTTCAAAAAAGATGTGCGCTGTTTTTTGAAGAAATTCTTCTTTGAAAGGATTTTGGCATTCTCCGGACGTGCAGAAAAGACAGCTCTTTGCAAGACTCTTAAAGCCGGCTCTCCTGATGATTCAGAAGAAAAAAAAATTCGATAGTGACATCGATGGGAAGATAGAGATGATCATCATTTTAGAGATGGTTGGAAAGATTAGCCTTCCAACGATGTATTTTATTTTATTTTTTTGTATATTGTGGTATTATGAATGCTCAGCTGACTGATATAACCAATATGTGTAATGAGTATACTCATTATTGGCAGAGTTTCTTGACGAAGCTGTGGAAAACTTTCTGAGTGCTTCCCGAGAATTTGACGACTTTGTGAAAGGAGCAGACAAAGAAAAGTGAGAAAGCCTTTCTTTTAACCCCTATGCTTGAGTACCATTGGAACATTTTCTTGCACTATTTCGTTAGACTTATATACCGTGGAACACATCTTAAATTTGCGTTGGGAAAAGAGATACCTTGCATATAGGAGATAAGCAGTGTCACGAGAATATGCTGCGACATGCTTCTGTGAGTTACCGACTACAAGTTCATTAATTTGTCTTTTTTTCGTTGCTTTTTTTTCAGCGTTGCAGTCGTGCGAAAAATCAACACACGATTGCTTAATGTTGAACGGGCATTCATAAATCTTGAGGGAATTCTGCAGGCCAACCCATTGCAGAGGTAAGTAAGATTGTTTTATTTATTTTCCCCAAAATGTGTGGTAGCATTATTCATATCATTAAGCGTTTCCATATATTTTTTCTCTCTCTCTTAAAGTGGATATCACAATTTATTAAAAGTTCTTTGATTTTGCCTCTTCACTGAGCAAAACCAAACAGTACCAACAGACTTACCATTTAGCGTGAATGCTTTCTAGTTTCTTACGTGAAGCTAATGAATATTCTACGTTTTTTAGACACGTCGTTTTGGTTCACAGCCCAACCATTTACTACAGTTGGTACGGTGGCGTGGTGGACGCCATTTATCGTGCTCGAAAAGGATTAGTTACCAAGGAAGAAGTCAAGAAGCAAATATCAATTGTTGCATATGGCATAAACTCAGCTGCACAAATACTCAAGCTCTCGCCGATTGAGTGAACGCTTTACAAAACTCCTTGTAAAGTTTCTCAGTGACGAAACAGTGTCGTATAGCTAAGCTGTTTTGTATACGTCAGCAAGAGTGAGGATATGTATTCCTTTAAGTATACCCGTAAGATACTATATGTATATCTCCATTGTCAGTCAAGTAGTAACAAAAACCATAATTTTAAAGAAAAGTCTTCCAAATACATATAGATATCAAGAACCAAGCACGGTTTCCCGGCATATGTGTTTTGAATGACCTTTTACTTATAGTTTCATGAGAAAGTGTTGTTGTCCCTTAGAGTTGACAGTGCATTTGGTTAGTGATCTTGCAAGTTTTACGATATATTACAAGTAAGTAAAGCCCAATAAAAAAAAACCTCCCAGTTTGCGACCCTTTAGCTGGAATGAATGTAACACTGATTTCCGCAATGCAATTGACTATACAAGGATAAAATGGTTTGGACTTGGACTTTCGTTAGATGTCTGTCGCCGAGTTTCGTGTCAGTAATAACTCGTTTCAAGCGCTTGTCCTTATCAAAAGCGAAATAAGTTAAAAGTGCTCGGGCTTTATCGGGTTGATAAATAACTTAGACACTTGTAATTACGGTCACACTGTTTAGCCAAAGAGGTTTAATTTTGATTTGTTGTGCAAAATTTGCTCAAAATTTTGTAATCAAAACTCATTTTGAGTTGCCAGGGCGTGCGTCTCCCTCGCGCGTGAAGCTCAACCCAGGTCCCGTTTCCACCCGATTAGAGAGCATAGCTAGACTGAAGTCCAGAAATAGCTTTCCTTATTCATGTAGATTTCAGTATACTTCATGCATAACGTGAACGTGATAAGAAGTGACACCTATGTGTAATTTAGCTGTAGGTAAACCTTACCTTCACAATAATCCTGCATTTTGTCTGGGCCTGGTCTGGGAGTTGGGTGATAAGAGACGTAATATGACTAATTAATATTTTAATTAAAAAATGGCATTGAAAGTAGGCGACATTCAATTGTCTAAACAGCACCCGTCCGTGAGAATATTAATAATTACAAAATTGTTGCCAGCGGTCGCTTCTAAACAATCGTGTAACTGCATCGAGATGTTGTCCATGGAAGAGAAAAAAGCGTTCGTTTACAGTTCACCAAAGCGACGATGTTGTTTTATATCGTCGATTATTCTCATTTTTCTTGTGTTGTTTGGGATCGGTATACTGGCTGGTTACTTTATTGGACGTGGAGGCGCGAAGAGTTGTGATGATGGCGGCAAGAATGACGGCTGTAACCCTCCAAAGGGCCTTACCCAAGAACAGCTGGAAGAGTTCCATAAGAGAGCGGTCGACATGATTTCTACTGAGGAGCTGAAAAATAACTTGAAGTAAGTGTTAGGAGACTACGTGCAGTAGCCGGGCTACATGTCTAGGAATTTATTTATTTTGTCAAGTTCGGCGCCTGGAGTGAGGTTTCACAACTAATATGCTTTCTTTGCTCGGTGCATCAGCATACAGCAATCAGTTTTCATCACTGAAAATGGCGATGAAAGTTGCAAATTATCGGTGATAAAATAAAAAAGCTTTTACCCATGGAGGTTAATTATGCAGGATATCGTGACTACTACATGAATCGTAAGACGCTTAGCGGTTGAAACCCAGGGTCAAATCAACTTGGAACAACTGTTGATGAATTTTTTTCGGTCTCACTACAAAAATTCACCCAATCGCGGTTATCCTAGACGAGACAGAAGAGGCTAAAGTGCAGGCTATTGCATCTCAATAGAGAGGTATTTCCCTAAGGCAGCACTAATGCCCTTATAAGAAGTTAAAGTGCATCCTAAGCCTGTGTTAAATGTCGACAAACAATTTTTAGCTAATTTAAATAACATACTCATTCTAGTCACGTTCAACCTAAAAGGCACCTTCCAGAGGTGATAATACTAACTTAAGAGAAACCAGCAAATTGCTTACATCTTAAAAAGCGTACATGATCACATAATTAAATTTGTCACACAAGGTGCAGACACGTGCAGAGAGCCTTGAATTTTTAAAGTTTACTTGCATACGATAACTTAGCAAGCCTCTAGTAAACAACTTCGCGATTAATTACACTGCAGAAAATAAGAGTGGAAAAATATTTCGTTCGATGCGTTGCTAGAGGTAAGATGCATTTCGATCTTTTAATTACGTCAGGTTAGTCTCTTGAGTAACTGAGGGTTGATAATGCCGGCTAATGCTGTAAAACTGTTTGGCCTTGTAAGTTATTTCGTTTTCATTTTAAAAAGACTGCGACCATGGAATTTTCATAAGCTTATGGACAAAAGAACCAGCATGAAAACTGGATTTTAGATATGGTTACTTAACTCATAACAATTGGTTAGTCCTACCGTTAAATCTCAACATGTATGGATGAAGCCAGCAGGAAGGATTACACTTCGGCAGCGTTAATTATTTTGCACTTCTTTTTTTAGATAACTGTATTTTTCTTTGCTTGTTTGTTCTTCCCATTAGTTTGAATTTGGAAACCCATTCAACCTTCAGCTTCGCGAAGATAACGGTTGAATCGCTCTGAATTTCCAGTTTTGTAGATTTCTCTCCCGAGTTGTAAGAACTCTATTCACTTATTGAAAATACATGATATCGATTTTTTATCCTATTTTGTGAAATAAACATTTTCACTCCCGAACAAACACACTCACTATAATGATCATGGGGGTGACTACTGCTGAAACCGATTCAACCGTCAGCTTAGAATTTTCGAGAAAGGAATTCATGCAACGAGTATGACTGCCCGTTACAACGAGTTTTTTACTGCGATTTTTTGTGTGAATGTGTTTTATAATCAAACTTATTTTAGGAGGACCTGCATTACCTTTTTGCTCTTCGTCTGCATCAATGCATATGCCATGAAAGCCTTCCTGGATTATGTAAATACTGTTGATTCAGATGAAGCATTATACATAGATTTTAACGTTTAATGATCTGATTTAAATCATTCTTAAAAAAAAAAACAAAAACAAAAAAACAGGTGATTTAATTAATTTGTATTTAATTAAGTTCTGGAAAGTAATTCTAAACGCTTTCTTGAATTGCATGCAGACGTTTCACTAAAGTGCCACACTTTCCTGGAGGCCCAGAGAACTTTAAACTGGCGGAGGACATGGCAAAAAAATGGAAAGAATATGGCATCGATGTTATATGGAAGAATTACACCATTATGCAGTGTCCCGGCCCAAGGATATGAAGGCAGGAGCGGCTGCACTGTACAATGGATCTACTCTGATCTACAAGGCAGCTCCTCAAGAAAAATTCCTTGTTCCCTCAGAGAACAACAGCAATGTGGTCCCACCTTTCAACGCTTATGCACCATCAGGATCCGTCAGGGTGAGTGTCAATTACAGTGTTTGTGCTATTCCGTGCTTTCTTGGTCACACGCACGATTAGTATATCAATAAACGAAAGTCCACCTAAAAAAATGATAAATAAGTTTTCAATTTCGTGTTCGTGAGTGATCTGGAAAATTATTACTTTTTTTACTTCTCACTCTAATTGTTGTAGAAAACTTACGCCACCCCATTCGAGAGTCACATGCAAAACTGAAATCAATCTTAACTTGCTAAATCGCGTCTTCGCAAGCTTCAGAAGTTTTCTATTGCCTCCCTGTGATATGATACTTGGTGGAGTGACCACCAAGTACCATATACCAGGATATCGAAGTTAACGCGCAAGGAGTTTAGATTTGTGAAAGAGGAGGAAATCTTCTCTCCCTTTAGAAAGTCCTGGAAGGTCGTAGCCTGTGTCAAGCTCTCCAATAAATGGAGACAATTGAAAAATACGGCGTGCGAAAAATGACGTTTATGTGGACCATGACAACCGCCGGTTTTCGATCGCCCGCTTTTTTCCAATTGTTTCTCCCGTAAAACAGACAAAGAGCGTGGAAAAGGCCTGGAGAGTCATTATACTATTGTCACCTCTGATTCCCTGTTGCTTGGGACTGATATACTTCACCTGTTAAAACACGGATTGATCATAAAGACGGAGATAACTGACCCAGTTTTCTATCGCTAACTTTAAGCCGCCGGTGAAGACATAACGTAAGATTACACCAGTTTTTAAAAAGCGACGAGGTCTTTACAGAATGACATAGTACAGAACTGAAATTTTTACATAGCGATACTATTTTCTGATTGTAGAGGGTATGTACCGCCTGCCCGTGGAGGAGGCTAAGAAACTCCTCCCTCAGATACCTGTGCATCCTATTTCTTATAAAGATGCTGAGCCCCTGCTCAGGTGAGTAAGCACGCAAGTTCTACAATTATTAATCTGCATTTAACAGCGTAAGCACGTTTAGCCAGGTAACATTTTCCTTCCAACAATTTTTATATTTAGAATTATTTGTCAGTTTGTACGAGTTTTTTCGGAATGTCCGTATTCTATTTTTAAGGTCACAGGTAGCATGTTTTATTTTTTTGTCATCCAGAACTCTTACTCGCAATGTGGTGCCATCAAATTCCTCCTTCCGAGGTGGTTTGAAGTTTTCGTATGGAATACAGATGGCGGAAGATGATCCGAGGTGAAGAAAAGATTTTGAAGATTAGGAAGAATAATTCTAAAACAGGCTTAAAATTCTTGGTAGTGAGAGTTGAACACAAATTCCGAAATGTTGTCCATTTTTGACTGTGAAATTCCGTCGAATGTTTCCAGGGCCTTTTATTCTGACGAGATTAAAGGCGTTATTGGTGTTGTTCTACTAATTGCTACAAGAATAGCGTTCACAGAAGATTGATAAATTTCCCCGAGCAATGAAACATTTGCTTCAAAATGTGTTTTTTTATTCTTCGGCTGTGAGCGACACAATTAATTATTCTTTGACTTCATTCAATTTTTAACCATTTCATTTTATTTGACGACGATGAACCGCAGTACCAACACGCTGTAAACTAACATTACAAATAGTGGGAAAGTCGGATTTTATTTGATATTTGGCACTTGATAGAAAAACAGGATGATTAATGCTAACTTGCTGGTAACTTTACTCACCCAGGGAGGTCGAAGTGAGTTGTACCAATGAACTTTACGTGACAGATGTTTACAACTTGATGGGAGTAATAAAAGGATCCACTTACCCCGGTATGTGTCTGAGCTACTTAAGTGAGTCATAATCAATCAAAAAAGCAGTACTCGCACACCTTTATCCGTTGAGCTTTGTTTTTACGATTTTACGAGCAGGTAATGAAAAGAAAAGCGTAGAAGGCAAGGAGTTCAAAGTTTGACATTGAGAAGGGTGTTTGCTCACGACCCGTGTTTTGTTCACTTGTAGGCCAGTATCACCGATTGGAGTGGAAATAAACCTTCATTGTTTCTTGATAAACTATTTGGTCTATGATCCAAAAAGGAACACTGCCTTTGACTTTTCTTGTTCCGAATTGCGTGAGATGGAGTAGTCTGTTCTGGAAATGTTGAATTGCCTTCCCGCTTAGATCTAACAGGTACACACGTAATTTTCAATTCTTCACAGATGAATTGGTGTTACTGGGTAATCACCGGGATGCTTCTCAAACCTGACTCATTATGGCGTTAATATGAGAATTTACAATACACAAATAAAGACGAAATTTGAGGACGACTTTAAAAAGTACAGTGCGAGTGAAGAGCTCAGTAAGTTACCGTTCTCGTTTAGTACAACGTCGAAGCATAATAGAAGGTATATGATTGCTTGCCCAACGTTAGTCTGCAAAGCAGGCGTAATTTTGGTGGGCGAGTGCTCAGTATTACCTTGTGAAAATTATAGCTACATCTTTGATTTTCACAGCAGCAGAAGGCTGAGGAGAGAAAGAAATTTTTTACCTAGTGGGTGAGCGACGATCAAAATCAAAGAAGAGGGGAGGGGATGGGGCAATGAATAGTCTTTTTACCTTTCTCCGCCCCCTCCTCCCATCGTCGACTCTAAATCTAAATCAAACATGGCCGGTTGAATAATCGATCGCCAGGTAGTCGAAAGTTCCCTATAGTTTGTTTTCATAAACTAGCCTTATCATATAATTTCGTCGTAAAAAATATGCACAAAGGATTCGGCATTCCTTTCAGACGTGCAGAAAAGATAGTTCTTCGCAAGATTCTATAGGCTCTCCTGATGATTCAGAAGAAAACGGATCCGCTGAGATCCGATAATGACACTGACTGCAGGAGGGAGGTAATTATCAGAGCTGGTTAGGAAGAATACATGTTCAACAATAGCGATTACATGTAATTATTTTTGTTGTATATTGTGTTAATATACAAACTGGCCTGAAAAAATAGTGTGTAATACCTATATTCATTCCCGGTAGAGTTTCTTGGCCAAGCTGTGGAAAACTTTCAGAGTGCTTCCCGAGAATTTGATGATTTTGTGAAAGAGGCAGACAAAGAAAAGAAAGAAAGCTTGTTTTTCAACTATTATACTTTAGTAGCATTTGAACGATTCCTTGCACAGTTGGATACACTATATATTTCGTTAGACTGTGGAACACATCTTTAATTTGTCCCTGAGAAAGAGGTAACTTACATAAAGGAGGTTGCCAATGGGAAAAAGACTTTCAAGCTCTCTCCTGTTGCTCTCGAGAATATGTTGCGATGCTTCTGTCATTTTTCGTTATCAAGTTCAGTTTTTTTCAGCGTTGCAGTCGTGCGAAAAATCAACACACGCTTGCTTAATGTTGAACGGGCATTCATAAATCTTGAGGAAATTCTCCAGGCCAACCCATTACAGAGGTAAGTAAGATTGTACAAAATACAGTTATTTCAAGAGGCAGACGTTTAAGTTATTTTCCCGTGCATGCGTGTTAGTAGCATCAAGCGTCTCCATAATTTACTTTTCCTTCTTCCTAAGAAGTTGATGTTACAAGTTATTTAACAGTTATCTGATTTCCCTGAGCAAAACCAAACAGTACCAACAGCCATACCATCTAGCCTGAATGTTTTTCAGTTTCCGCGGACTTGCTATTTTTTTTTTTACGTGAAGCTAATGAATATTCTGCGTTTTTTAGACACGTCGTTTTGGTTCACAGCCCAACCATTTACTACAATTGGTATGGTGGCGTGGTGGACGCCATTTATCGTGCTCGAAAAGGATTAGTTACCAAGGAAGAAGTCATGAAGCAAATATCAATTGTTGCATATGGCATAAACTCAGCTGCACAGATACTCAAGCTCTCGCCGATTGAGTGAACAATTCTAAGTAGTCCCCGTAAAGTTTCTCAATTAGAAGACTTAGTCATGTAGCTAAGCTGATTTAAGCACGAATGAGATAATGAAAAACACCCTTTGTAGCGTACTCACGACATATCATTACACATTTATCTCTCTTGTCAAGCAGTGATAGAAACCATAGGTTTTACGATTTGTTTTGTGTATTATATAAATATTTAGAGACAAGCAAAGTGTTCATTTGTGTTTTACCTGGCTTCTCTCGTATTACGAGCTGGTGAAAGTGTTTCTGAGAAAGTGTTATTGTTTTTCTAGGAGTAAATGGTGAATTCGAAAGTTAGTGGTGTTTTGTTAGTAAGTCTTACGATTTTTACGATGTGGTGTGAGTAATTAGAGCTGAGTGAGATGAAAATTCTGAAATTGCGACCCTTCGGTTGAATGATTAAGTCATTATCGCAGCACAATTGACTATACATGAATCATACATGAATCTCCTTAAGAAGAAAAGAAACGTTTTTTTCCAATATGGTTCGGATAGCAATCGGATTATTTGCTCTTGTTTTTATTGTTAAAATTTTCACAACATTGGTCCTAAAGATTCGTAATCCAAGCGAAATTTCAAGGTACGAAGTTCACAACGAGTACCACGACAAACTCAGTAAAACAAAATTGTAAGGTTTTTAAAATCTTCAGGCCAATTTCAGGCCTTCTACAACTATTCGTCATCCATTCCAAACCCAAATAGTGCGTCGGAGTCAAACCATGCAATACTTTCTTGCTTCTCTTTCTTTTTACGCGCAAGTGGTTTTATTTTGGTTATTTTGCTCTTGAATGGGGGCTTCATTCCTTGGTGCAACCCACGAGACTTCATCTGGTGAAAGAAATATCACACCCCATGGTATTTAAAATATAGAGATTACTACTACGTTTAAACATGAATACAGTATTCGAAAAAGAAGCGATGGGCAGTATGTTGGGATGTTTTGCTCTAGGATTTTTCCAGAGATAAATTATTTACGAAATTCTGGCAATACCATTTTAGTTATGCCCTCCCAACTTACCGGAGACTTATCGTACAAGGAATCCGGGCTTTTCATATCTGGAAACAATTCCTTGAACTTGGCCATTTCCTCGGATTCCTCACTTTGGATTTTCATCTAGTATGAGAAAACCATGTAAATACATATTAAGAAAGGACTGAAAGAAAGTAAACGATTAAGGCTTATCAGAGCTTTTTAACCTACCCACGTCGAGTGTCATAATGAAAAAACATGCAAAACAATTAATTCTATAGTCAAGTAACTATTATCACCTTCTTCTGTGTTTGTGGAGCCATTGGCTTTCCTCGTGGGATTTGTTTGAGTTTATGCGTTTCCAGATATGGGGAATTTGTGGACAAGGGCTCACTGTTCGAGCTAAATGGCTTTGGAGAAAATCGAACATTCGATCGTAGTTTGTTCCTCTGGTTCGCTTTTTCCTGGCCAGGACTTGTTCTTCCGACCTGTCCTCAAAAAACAAGCAGAGATCTTGTGTGGATGGTGCATTGATGAAATAAAACTAATATCTGGAATCAAAATAACACTTAAAAACCTTGGTGAGGTTAAAAGTATATTTCTCGTCTCCTTCTTCTTGCTCCCCTGCAGTAGTGAAAGCTACCCTCCTCTTTTTCTGAAAGGCTTCGCTTAGTTTAAGAATTCCACGAGGCTGCTTTGGAGTTTCAGGAACCACCGCAGAATCTTGAGGCGTCGCTTCCACCTCGTTATGATCTGGTAGTTTTGGCGTCTTGAGTTTCCCGTCTACAGATGGGGTTCGCGAACTTCTGGTAGACTTGAGGCAAACGATAAATCGAACCAAAAGTATTAATGTGATTCTTTAATTAAAAAAAAATGGTGATGAAAGGGTAAGGTTTATCAATTCCCCAAAGTTAAGCAGCACATTAAAAAGAAGTCTGAGAAATTAAAATGATCAAATTATGTAAGCCTAACTCAAGAGCTATCAGCGTATAATTTACTTCTTACATATAATCATATTGATCATAGGAGAGAGATACACAAAGATGATTCTAGCTGAATAAATTGCAAACCAAACAATAATTCTCTTACTTTGTGGTATTTTTCGCCAATGTTTTCTTGAAGCAGCGTAATATCTTCATTCTGAACGTATCAGTTCAGTAGGCAGTTAAAAGGAGAGCAGTAAAAATAGAATTAACGACCTTGAAAGCGGCGATGGAGACATATTTTAAGATGACACTCGGAATATTTCGTAGGATTACCTTTGCTTCTAGTTGTTTCGTCAGAACTTGGATTGCTTCAGATTTTTCGAACTCTAATCTTTTCCTGTTTTTTTCCTGGAGGCATCGAAAATCAGTGATATAGATAGGAAAACATTGCATTTACTTAGGTAAACAATACATACGAAGAGGAAAATCCCCAATTCTTCTCGAAAGTCGGTCAGTTTTGTAGCTAATAATTGATTGAATTCAGTAAATAAGCAGTATTTCCTTTTCTATTTTTATTTTGTTTGTTTTTTGTTTTGTGAGTATGTTTAGTTGTTTTTATGGAACAGAAATGGTCACTGTAGCTAAATAACAACGACAACATATTTTACCGAGCCCCAGTGGGAGGAATTACTTGGAGAGAGTTATACCTGATTCTCCTTAAGATCACATATATCTCTCTCTAATTTTTCTATTTGTTTCTTGGCTTCTATAAGTTGTTTCTCCTGCAGGGAAGAAAAAATCAGAAGAAAAAGAAGTAAACTGTTGAATTAATGGGACCTACTTTTCACCACTGCTCGTTATAGCTACAAACGTTCGCTCAGCCTCGTTGTACTTACATGTTTTTCCTGCGATTCTTTCTCTGCATTAGCACGCAAGAGGTCCAGCTCTCGCTCCTTTTGTGCCACTATTTTTTCGTTTTCCAGCTGTCGATTAAGAAAATTAACTTGCACTTTTTACCTTTTTTGAGGAAAAAAACCCAACTATACTTACGATTAAATTTATCTTTGAAAGCGTGATTGATCTTGGAGGATTTCACAAAATTATCACTATGCACATACTAGGAAAGGCTTACGAAAAAATTCAGCATTGTTAATGCTCAAATTAAACCTTCTCTCACGCACAGTGTAAATATATCTGGGCTAATTTATGATTTACTTCTATGACTTTAAGGCCGTTCGACCATTAGTTAACGTGCCATCACTATTCAGGTGGGATATCATGACACTGGATTAAAGGATGCTATGTTCTTGCAACAACAACAACAATAATACTTTAATTTACATTCCCTTACTATAAAGCATTAAAATGTATAAGCGTATCTAGCTAGATTAAATTCTCATAGGTAATTATAGGAAAACCCCAGTCAGAAATGTCTATTGAGTTCCTTTGCGTTCAATTAAACCAAACAGTTTTCTCGTTAGAGACTAGTCTTGTAAGTCTTGTTTTTTTTAATATACCTTGTACTTTTCCAATGTTGCGCATAACTCATTCATTTGCTTTTCAGATTCCTTTTGTACTGTTTCTTTATCTTGTATTGCTTTTTCTTTTTCCTCCTTGAATTGTTGAACCTGTTTAATTATGTTCAATTCAAAACTGTAGTAGATTTAGGGGAATAGAATCACCCTGGCAGTGTCCTTACAAATTCACAAAGTAACTTGGTTAATTAAGAAGAAAACATACATCAGTTTAAAATTCGGGGGCCCTTGGTGAAATGCTATTAATCTTACTTGTTGTTTAAGATACTCCGCTGTTTCAGACTTCTTGATGATTTCCTTTTTCGTAGCCTCCAACTGAAAAGCAACACGCATTTTTAGATTCATCGTTATTTTCTTTAATCCGCCTTGATTTTTTACCTGACATGTACTGAGTTTTGAACCTCCGATAAAAAAGAAAAATGCTTAATTTTACTTGCTTATTCGAGAGCTCTTTTGTTGCTATTTTTCTGTTTGTAATGGGATGAGCATGTAGAAGTTCCAACATAACTAAAACAATTACCGAACTACGATTCCAGAAACTTCAAGAATACGTCATAAAGAATAAGAACACCTGAAGGAAAATACGAATTGGAGGGCAAAACAACTTGAACAATCCGTTTTGGAAGTAGCACCAAGATTTTTCGTGGTAAAAAGCCCCTAAAACCACTCAACACCTGTCTGTCGATGACTTCAGTACGGTCCCTCGTTCTTTGTAACAATTTAATTTAAGTAAAATAAACAGATTAACAACATGCGTGCCTATTATTTTACTCAAGAAGCCAGCTGAAAATGGGAGGTGTAAACGATCTAAATCGCAGCTGTATAACATGGAACTTAAATTATGCTCACCTTTTCTGAAAAATCTTTAATCTGTTCTTTGGAAGCGTCAAGTTCACTGGATATCTTTGATTTCTAAAGCAAAAGGATGAATACCAGTGAATACATACATTATCGTTCTGGAGGAGGATTCCGGGTTATCGTAAAATTACCTGATTTTCTAGCTTTTCGAGAGCTTTGGTTTGGGAGGTAACTTTGCTTTTCATCGTCCTATTCTTTGTGCAATAAAAAACAGTAACATCAATGGTCAGTCATTAAAAGCACTCAGATTGTCTAATTTAGTTCTGTTATATAACCTTAGTCTAATTTGGTGATAGGGTTCTGTCAAATAACCTCTGAATATATACTTACTTCTTGCTGCAGTTCTTTAGTTTGTTTAGTTTTGGCTGTAAGCTGGTCCTGGAGACCTTTTGCCTACAAAAGCAATTCACTCGAAGTTTTACCAAGTGTTTTAAAATGGGAGGGAAGAGGACCCAACTCTTACGATTGCAAATTTATGCTCATGAAATTTCCAGAATTGGCTTTGCAATTCACTAAAAAATTAATCGATTTAATCATGATCGAAACGAAATTGATTCTGAACGTTTCAACGTGGCTATCGAAGTAAGACATAATAAACTCTTGCTTACCTTTGTTTCTAAGATTTCCAACTTCTTGGTCTGTTCTTTCAGGTCATCTTTTAGATATCGATTCTGTTTAAATTTGGTAATATAAAATAAGTCTTGAAATGCACCTAAGTAGATAAATTGGCATGAACAAGCTTCAACCACATTTGAAATTTCTAATAAAAATGACCACAACTCAGGTCAATTACGTTGTCTTTTTCTTTCTCTAAAACTGTCGCCCTTTCTTCATCTTGAACTCTTCCGTCACTCATCATTTTGTTGTATTTCTTCCTGATGATTTCAAGAAAACAAGAAAGGTAATATGCTAAATTTCAGGTTCATTGGATTGAATATTTTTAGAGGTTTTACGCTGCAGTAAAGAAAATGAGGGCACAGAAACATAAACGTTTTTCGCTTCGGGTTCGCATTTTAAATTCTCGTGCAAGAAATACAATTTTTCGAAAACGTTTTTATCGTCAAAATTATTTTGATCCCTCCTTTCTTGGCTGTAGTTGATGCTTCATGTCTGGAGGAGAAGAATTAATCGGTCCTAATCAGCTGTAATAACTTACTGAAGCTTCTGAAAATCTCCATCTAGCTTTTCAATGAGTTTATTGGACTCCTCTCCTGTTTTTGTTGCTTCCTGTTGATTAAACATGAATTGGTATAATAATTGCGACAAAAATATATTATTTTTCATTTAAAAAAAATGATTAAACATCAAAGCAAACAGAAAAAAGAATTTATAAACAAATACCGCTAAGCTCTTGTCCAGTACTGAGTTTTTTCCTTCGAAAATACTGATTTCATTTCTAAGTTTTCTCTCAGATTCCTATTTAAGGCAGAGAAAACACAAACAGATTTATCAAATATTTGAAAAAATATGACTTGAAACTGAAGTAAGTACGCTATAATGGAGTGGAGATTCTTAGAATTGAAAACAGCGACTTCCGTCTCTATCTTTCCGGCTTTTTGTGGACTGACCTTAGATCACTCATATTGTGGGTCTCCATTTATTCAAGTCCGGCAGACGTTAAAAGATTGAGATTAAAAGAATCGCGTACAAACAATATTCATCAGAGCCGAGTTTTCAATTTAACTACTACGAAGAGCGTTTTCGGAAAGATCCGATTTCCAAGGAATGGAAGAAACCGAGTGACGTTTTCAAATTATCCGGCGTTATGCTGGCGAGGCCTTACACGAATAAAATGGATCTCACTTAACAACCTTGACTTAACAGACACCATACCTTGGAGTCTTCTAAGCAAATTTGGAGCTGCTCTTTTTCTTTCCTAAAACAACACAAACGAAAGCAAAATAATTTTTTAAAAGCTACCACCAGAGACATCAATTCAGTTCAAGAAAGCCAATACACTGAAACAGCCCTAAATATATGGTTAAGATCAGATAGAGTCCGATTAAGACAATAATCTACATTTTAGATAAATGTACCGTTAGTTTTTGTTATGTAGAGGGTACCTCTCATCTTCAAGCTTTGTTTGAAGATCTTGTGCTTTTTCCGTTAGGTATTTCACATTGTAATTTGCATTGCAGAATTTCACCTCCAGATCGCCTATTGTCCTCTACAAAGGGGTTATAATATTAGTCAAAATTATTAACGAATGTCACCTACTTCAGCTGGTGATATTACAGTAATGTTTAAATCAGCAGCCACATTTACCTGCTTCTCTTCGGAGGCAAGTGTCAATATGCAGATCTTTTCCTCTAATTCCTGTTTAACTTTGTTGACTCGCTCAAGTTCATTCATTAAGGAGGAATTGGTCTCCTAAACATCAAACAACTATTGAGCAATGATAGGAGAAAATGAAGATCGTACATAAAGAAACAAAACTTTAAGCAGAAACCTATGGTTCGAGAAGAAGATAAGAAAAGTTCAGGAGAGATTTCGATAAATTGAAACCCTAAAAAATACATTAAACCGATAAATAAAAGCTATGACCTGTAGCTCGCCGAGCTCTTCTTTTGACTGCCGCAACAAATCTCCTTTCGATGATACCCTCTCCGCTTCCTTTGACAAGTTCTCCTGCAGGTCTGCGCAAGCTTTCATCAGATCATTCTGGATAGGGAGACAAAAACGATCCATAACAATATTGGCAAAATATTTTCTCTTGAGGTCAGGACAGTTTTTTCAAAGTTACCTTTTCTTTGAGAATGTGATCGTTTAAAGTATCTGCTTTTTCCTTCTCCCTCGTTAGAGCTTCTGCAACGCAATAAAACATTTCTTCACGATAAGGTCGAGTAATCATGAAAAACTGTTGGGGTTGTTAGCAGATAAGCAAGTCCCTAACTCTTTCTTTAACCAAAATAGGTAATATATCTAAATAGGCTTAAGAACGCAATCAAAAGCGCGACAACTGCCATGACAAGCTTATTAAATATTATCAGCCAGCGCTAGAGGCCTCAATCCTATATAAAGGAGTCGATAGGAAATTGCTTAAAGCAATCAACTCATAAACTTACCAAACTTTACCCGTAGATTTTTCAGTTCATCTGTTGTCGTTTCGTTGGTTTTGGTAAGATTTTGTAGCCTTGATTGTGAAAGAAAAAGTGTTATGTGTTTGACAGAATAAAATAGCAAATTATTAACGTCACATAGTGGTACCAGTATCAGTTTCGTCTCTGGGCCATACCAGTTTTATTTTAACGACATATATTTATACTTACTCCTCTTCCAGTTTTTTCTTTTCCTTTATCAGAGAAGAAAGTTGTATTTCTAGCTCGTCCAATATTTTCCGTTGCTCCTTTTTCATCTCGAGATTACTCTCTTTCAATTCTTGGTTCTCTTTTTGGACACCCTCAAACTGTGATTGGATGGCTTCTCGCTCTTCTTCGATTCTCTTGCACTCTTGCTGAAGTGCACACCGAAACAGAACGTTACAGAGTCAAAATGAAACGCGAAATGTTTTAACACAGTAATTTGGTGAAGAATAAATATTTTTTTCTTCTTCGCCCGTTCCCCATAACTTTAGGTGGTATTTTATGAAGAAGCCAGCATTTTACTTTTCCGCACCTTATTGAAAGACAACATGTCCTCTGTATTTTGAATTTGGACTTGTTGCGAG